CATTTGTGTTAGTTCGTAGAAAGTGAGTAAGACGGACCCAAATGTGTTTACACGTGAGTGGATAAAATTTTGAACAATTGCTGTTGCAGCATCGGGTATGTCAAATGATTTTATTATTTAAAAACACAAATTAATTTTATTAATAATTAATAAAGGCAAAAGCATTTGAATTTGCCGATATAAAATAGGTGCGATAAAATTCTATTTACATATTTCTTTCCTTGCGAAAGTTTTTGTCCTTTTTTATCACGCCGCCATACCGGTCGCATTGTGCGAGGTCAGGTTTTACAGTGGACCAGTTTCCAGTCCCGTGTATTTTTAAATCAATTTCGAACTGACCTTTTTGATTTTTTCTTTACAAAATTGTATTTGTAAAGGTCCCCTGTACATCCAGAATTTTTTTTTGGATAAGTTCTGAATCACCCTGTATAAAAAGTAAAAAATATACATATTTTCGAAACAGGATCAGGTAGGAACAGAACAAGGAATCGAATGCCGCTTTCCATTTTCATGCAACTTATCGCTTCTTCAAGCCCAGTGTGACTGAAGATGAATTTTTCGAGACAAAACGTCTGAATCTGATTCGGGCTGAGGCAGTACAGTATTGGGAGTCGTGAACGCTTGCAAAAAATGTAATAAAATTTCAAGGGTGATATTTAAAAAAATGAAGTCGATGATGGTCCTGTAAAGACGAAACGTTACATATAAAAATTGATTATGCCATTCGATAGAGGGTAAAAAGTGGCCACAAGAAAGTGTTCTTATTTTTTCAACATCACCTCAAACAAGGCTGAAATGAAACAAAAACGGATTTTTAAAATTTCGTTTTTTTTTTTCAAATATTTTGAAAACTAATCATGTTAGTCTTGATTTTATAGAAGCATAATATTGGTCCCCTGATTACGCAACTTTGCTCCCATTTAAGCTACTTCGTAGCTCTTACCGTTTCCGAGATCCCTGTAGTGAGGAACGAATTTGTAACAGACTGTATTATATTCTATGTATATTTAAAAATATAGGTTTGGGTTGGTTGGATTAGGTTAGATTAGTTTAAGTAAAGTAGGTTATAGTGTGCCCTAAATTGGGGATAATGCAATATCGAATAAGGAATTGAGAAATGGAAAATAGAAAGAAATTGCTTTATAATTTTTTTGTAATTAATTCAATATTTTCTGTTCTTGTATATCTGCTATGTAGATCATTTTATACGTCACTAGGTGCTCCTAAAAAAAAAACAGTAACAACTTCTCCATTTCATAAATAAAAAAATGTCATCTCAAATTAATAGTCCATCTATCTTTATTCTTTATATTCTTCTATAAATTTTTTATTTTCCTTGATATGATGGAAAATTTTCTAATTGTTACCAAACTATCCTCACTGAATTTATTTCAAAGCTTCGATTCATCGTGAGAAAATGTTTATAAGTTTGATATATCTCTAACAGACCCTTAGTTTTAATTAATTACTATACAGGGTGTCTTGTAAGTATGTGTTTTCAACTCGCAACTCTCAGTAACTAATTTGTTATTAATAGGTATTTTAGTGCAAAAAACGCATTTTTTATTTTAGTTTTTTGCTTATAAAACCAAAACTACTGGAGCAATGTCAATTCTGTAAATGGAAAAGTTGTAGAAAATTAAATTTCGAAGGAAATGAGATGTCGAGCGATTCTATCGGTTGATTAGAATTGGAGAAAATCCGGAAAAACCGGAAAATTCGTCACTTTATTCAAAAATTCATAACTTTGTCATTTATGAAAATTAAGAGGAGAAATTTGGCACAGAAGTAGATAATTATATCAACTTTATGTATGCAAAATGCGGGCGCTGCCGGACCATTAGTTTTAGCGTAATTGCAATTTCCAATTTTTTATAATTGTTTTTGCCGGGAGTCTGCTTGTGTTAAAAATTATTCGATTTTAATTATAATAGCGGTTTTCTAAACAGAAGTAAAATACTATAAAACGTATATTTCAAGTTTTCGTCGAGCGCTTCCCCTCCTTCCCCAACCACTCGCGCGCGCTCTGCCGTTTACACCAATGTTCAAGTGCATGTTTCATCCATTTCGCTGCATTTTAACGAAAACTTGAAATATAGTATTTTACTTCTAGTTCTGATAACCGGTACCTATTAGAATTAAAATCGGACCATTTTTAACGCAAGCAACTCCGGGCAGAAAATTGCATAAAAAATTTAAAATTGCAATTGCGCAAAAAGATGATGTAATTATCTACTGCTGTACCAAATTTCAGCTCTTAATCTTCATAAATGACAAAGTTATGAATTTTTTAAAAAATTACGAATTGTCCGGTTTCTCCGGATTTTCTCCGGTTCTAATCAACCGATCGAATCGCTCGACCTCTCATTTTGTTCAATATTTATTTTCCTACAACTTTTTCACTTACGGAATTGAGGTTGTTCTAGTAGTTTTGGTTTTATAAGCAAAAAACTAAAAAAAAAAACTCGTTTTTTTTGCACTAAAATGTTAATAACAAATTAATTAATGAGAGTTGCGGGTCGAAAACACATCAGTGTATATCTACGGACTGTCTTTTAAATGATGGGACAGGTGGTATGGTGTTAGTACTTTTGTCACACAAAAAAACCTATATTGATTAGCCTAAGTGTTTATTGCTAAATTTCGTTTGGACAAAACCGAGTCTATAAAATCAACCGCTTAACTGATTTCGACATAGACATATAGTTAAATAAATCTGTAATTATGTAATTAATTTAAATAATTCAGTGAATCATATTTTTCCTATAGATTACATAATAAAATTGTTTAAATTATATTTAAGATTTTTAAAAGTAGAATCTTGTTCTTATATTGCACCGAATAGGATTCAAGTAACCTTCGATAGCTCAGTTGGTAGAGCGGTGGACTGTAGCGGATTTGCCATAAAGTAGACATCCATAGGTCGCTGGTTCAAATCCGGCTCGAAGGATACTTTTTTAATTTGTTTAACAATGATATAAATCTTGAAAAACATGATTGTAATAAAGTTACTATTTATTATATTACAGTTGTGTGATTTATCTGTACAATTTTTGCTGCAGGTTGAGTTGTATCATTATTTATATTGTGCATTATTTTTATTTGACATTTTTTGAAATAAGTTGGATGTTCTGTATATTATATAAATTATTTCAGTTCATGCATCTTATCGCATAAACTATTTAGGTATTTATGATATAAAATTATATAAATATTATAATGTTGAACAATATTATTAACTAACTTAGAACGAGCATATCACATTTGTTATAACACATTATAGGTACTGTATATAATACTTCAAAAATTCATATTTTCGTTAATCCAGTCAACGTAATATGGCACGTAAGTATTGATCGAAGGACCCCGTCCACACCCGAGGAATCCGTAGGAGATGACGCCCATCATATTCGTGACGAATTCAAAGTTGTTGTTGACCTGCAGCATCAGCGGTCCCCCAGAGTCTCCGTTGCAGCTGTCGGTACCGTTTCCAAGTCCCGCACAGATCTGTCCGTCAATCAGTGACCTGTTCCTCCTGTTACAGTTCTCTTTGGCGACGAGAGGAATCTTGGCTTTCCTTAGAAGGGGGCTAAACATGTCTAGAAACGAGAAAATATGATGTACCTGCATACCTAGTCAATATTTATTTGATCATGAAATAATTCACAGAATTAAAATTATAATAAGCTTGTGAAAAGAGGGTAACAAATAATCATCATCAAACTGGAAACGGGTATTCTTTTCCAGCAAAGCACAAGGAAAATGTTTTTATAAACATATGTCCATAAACGCTTGTTTACTGAGATATAATCAAAATTTTAGTTATTATTAAATTGACGTAAGACACTAATTCAAGACAATGTCGGATTAAAAATAAAAATAATAGTTATTTACACCATAAAGGAGGTAAGTATTATTTACCAGTCGAGGATGACTTTGCGCCCGAGCGGAGCGAAGGCTGGCAATAGAGTCCGAGACTGGTAAATTATACTTAACTCCTGCGTGGTGTACAACATTTTATCTGCTCCCACAGTTCTTTTAGACCAGGCGGTATCTGTTTTGGCTTGGGTGAATCGTATATCCACGGAGATTTTTGGCTTTTTGGCTTTTAAATATCACTAGAAATGAAAATTTTTCTATACGCATAAAAAAAAAATTGGGCTTAACTTTTGACGGCACAATATGTTAAAAAAATTGGAAAAATGTCATATTTTTCTTCCTATTTAATTATGTATCTTTTTAAGAGTTGATTTTAGGTGAAAATGGAAGAGGAAAAAAATGTTTGTAATTAATTTTTTTACAATACATGACTGGTTACAAATCGAATGAATCAGGATTATTATGGTAAAAATCGAAAAAATCACAAAAATGGGGTTAAAAAACAATACTTTTTAGGGAATTTTTTTGGTGTATTTAAATTGGGTGTAGGACCTTTATACTTGGCTCAAGAAAACTACATGTTATGTAGAATCATCACACCAAATTTCATCAAAATCGGTTCGATAGATTTTGCATAATAATTTTGCAATTCAGATTAAAAAAAATTGCAAATTTTCAAAATTTTACACAGCAAAAACCAAGGCCCTTAGATACTTGAAAATTTAATCACATATAGAAGGGCTCTCAAGCTTTTAAACTTTTTTTGAAAAATTTGAATCCGTCAATTAGGAGAGCTCTGGCGCTTGTTTAAACATTGGTCGAATTTTTATACTTATAAACAATTAGAACTTTGTGAATATTCAATCAAATCAAATTTTTTAAAGCAGGTTTTAAAAGTTCTTGGAAAGACGCTTCTTTTAAAAAAAACAGATCGATTGATCAATTAGTTACGTAGTTATAGCCGTCATTTACACTAAATGTACTGGGACATCCGGGCTAATTTTTTGAAAAATACCTTTGGTATTCCGAGTACTTACCAGGTTTAAGATTATAATACTTTTCTTCATTGGCAACCTACTTTAAAACATGTTTAAAGTTATTTATGTAAGCGAGAAATTCAATAAAATCGTACGGGTGGTGGTGGTGGTGGGGGAAGCAGAGAGCGCGGCCGCTTCGGCCTGCTCGGAATTGAATCGTCTATAACTAGTGGGAGTAGATAAAATAATTGGCAATGTTTTACTGTCAAATAAAGCAATTTGTCAGAGGAATAAAAGAGGTGCATTCGTAAGGAAACAGAACTGACTAGCTCATTTGATTTTTGTTAATTTTATACAAGGGTTACCTTGTAGAAAGTTAGTCGTTGAATTAAAGCACACCCTGTACAATATATTTATAATGAAAGGAGTGATTTAAAAACGAGTAAAGAGTTAAGTGTAAATATTTAGATATTTGATTACGAATAATACATATATCTACCATAATATTAATTAAATATACCTGTGGAAGTTCTTCCCCAACCTGCTATGATGAAAGTTTCATTTCCCTTCAAAGTTGACGATTTCGTTGGAAGGCAGATTGGTTTTATATAATCTGAAACGAAAAAACCATCAATTAACTCGTGGAAAGATTGAAAATTTGAATTTTATGAACCCTTTTAGGTCTAAACTCGACAGAAAATTGTATCTGAATTCAATTTACGCAGATGACTTGTTCTGTATTTTACGTTTCAGTAAATAATTCATTTCATTCAGTAAATCAACGATTTTTTATTGAAATAATATAATTTTATTCATAATTATACAAGGTGATTCATCCAAAAAAATTTGGGAATACATGCGTCATGAGAAAGAAGTCAATATTGTAAAAAAATTGTAAAATCCTTAATAGTTTCCGAGAAAAAAAGTTGTAGTATTGTCAACCTTTACATCGCTGGGCTACTGTAGTCTCTAGAGTCATTTGCTCACGTGGCCCCAGGCGATTCCGTTTACATTAGTTCTTCAAGTGTCAAAAATGGCCTACGTGTATAGCAACTCGGGGTTGATGGATATCGTTTATCGTAATTTATCGTCAAGCAAGACAACATTAGTTTACGGTGAAGCATTTGTGTTATGGTGAAGCAAGACAACATTTGTGTTTGTTCGTAGAAACTGGGTAAGACGGGTCCAAATGTGTTCACACGTCGCGTTGGTTGACAACATTTTGAACAGTTGTTGTGATATCAGGTATGTCAAATTATTTTATTAAATAAAACTACAAATTAATTTTATTAATTAATAATAACAAATTTTTTTGTCCGTTCATTTTTTATTACACTTTGACGCCGTGTCGGTCGCCGACTGCATGCTTTGTCTTGCGCAGGTTAGGTTTTACAGTGGACCAGTTTCCAGTGCCGTGCAGAAGTGTATTTTTAAATCATTTTCGAATTGCGCTTTTTGATTTTTTTACAAAATTATATTTGTAAAAGTCCCCTGTACATTAAAAATGGAATTTTTTTGATAAGTTCTGAATCACTGTATATTTATTGTAATTTAAATTCAGAAAATTTTAAAAGTTTGACATGTTTACTTGTAAAACTAAAAACAGAACAGAAAGTTCAAATTACCTGTGAATGTCACTTCCTTGTCTAGTCTAAGAAGGGCAATGTCGTGTTGGGTGGCACTCGAGGTATACATTTTGTGTGGAATTATCGACTCCACCCCGTAAATCTCTGGCGGATCGGCACAGTCTTGTCCTGTGCCCATGTATATACAATCAGTCTTATTTCTTGTGTCGTACTCACCGAGTACAATTTGACGTCTGCAACATAAAAATTTTTTTTCTATAGTGAATTATTCGTCTATTTTCGGGTATTTTAGCACATCGCAAATAAAAAACTTTTTTTAAGAAACTTCGCAATCTTAAATATATTGAACACTATCCGATTTTTATTAGCTATAACTTGGTTACTCATTTTTGGACACCCTGTAAAGTACATACATTTTTAAATGGGATATTATTTTCTTTATACTGGAGCACAAAAAATGTTTTTTCTTCATACTGTAAATGAGTGATGACGTCATCGATATATTTTTTAAATGGGATTGTATATGTATTTTCTTTTGCTCATTTTGATTGATTTTTTATTCTACTTCCAACCATATAAAATTTTTATGCCTTTGCATAACGAAATTTTTGAGAAAAAATAAGAAAACTTTCGGCCTTATCTATATCAAATAGAAGGCGCTGGAAAAATAATTTTGCATACGACTATCTGTCATAAATCGGTTTGTTTGTAATTGTCACCTTTCAATATATAACAAAATGAATAATTTTAATGAAGAAGTTGATATGCTTTAGGTATTTTTACATTCCTTTTGCATTTAATATTGTATTGTACAACTTTTAGTATATTAATATTAGTAAGTTATGGTTACATACATATTTTTCCTATACCTTAACTGTCTTAAAATAGCTTCAAGTTTACTAAACTTTCTTCTGGTAGGGAAAATTCGACTAGGATAACGTTGTTGATATAATTGCAAAGCAACAATACTGTTTTTTTCTACATTCATAATTACTGAATCCGATTAATTGCTACATACTTACACTTGGCCTAGTCCTCTGTTCTTAAGAATTTGCATGTCGACGCAATGCGCCGCAGTCACCACATATCTTGAATTTATGAGCGTGCCCCCACAGCCAGACTGGATGCCTCTGTTGCTTGGATATTGCAACAACGCCAACCACGGAAACTCTCCCAAATCGGCGACACTGCCACCTACGATCCTATCGGTTCCGAATTCCAGCCTGCCGCATATTTTAGAAATAGGTTCTGGTATGTTTCCGTTGGTTCTCTCGATGTTGAATACGGAGTTGTCGATTGCCTTTTCCTCGTCTTCTTGACAACAAATTTCGTCGCTCGACTTACATTTAAATTTATCCAGATAGTCCCTTACTGACTTCAAGGACCTGTCCAGATTGTTTTGAAGGATTGTGTAGCGCTGACAGGTATTTGTACGAGTGCAAATTCCTACAAAGTTAAAATAAGTTGATTGAAATTCACTAAAAACCAATTCTATTAATATGAAATTTAAACCTGTGATCAGTGACACTTGTCGATCGAAGGTTTATGGCAATTTAAACATACGACTTCACGTCATTGATAAATATATCTAATTTGTCACTTGCTTTATGAACACTATTTTTATTTATAAAAATTATGAGAGTAGATTTACTAAATTAAAGTTATGGCTAATCTATTATGTTATCCAGTGTTATTATAGTCCAGGCGGTATCTGTTTTAAAAAGGGTATACTTGGGTAAAACGCATATGATCGGAGATTTTTGCTTTAACGGCTTCTAAATAATATCAGAAATGATAATTTTTCTATGCAAATAAAAAAAACGTGGGCTTAATTGTTATTGCAAAAAAGTATAGAAAAATAGCAAAAAAAATTCATTTTTTCCTTGGATTTCTCGTTGACAACTTAGCAACTATTCAATTTAGACGAAAATAGAAAAGGAAAAAAGTTGTAATTAAATTTTGATCAAGATAGTGTTAGTTGCAATTCGAAAAAATAATTATTGTTATTGCAAAAATCGGAAAAATCATTTAAAAAATTGCAATAAATGCTAGTTTATTTGTCAATTTTTTTCAGACACTTGAATAATACCTAGGATCCTCATACTTTCCCCAATTAAACTTTTTAGTGCATAGAATCATCACACCAAATTTCATCCAATTCGGTTAGATAGTTTTTTCATAATACCTAATTTATTAATTTTAATACCTAATTTTAATAATTAAAAAATTTTCAAAATCAAATTTCAAAAAATCTAAAGCCTTTGAATACTTGAAAATTTCACCACAAAAAGAAGAGCTCTCAAACTTTAAATGGTTTTTGAAAAATTCAAATCGGACGCTTGGGTGAGCCGTGGTGATTGTTTAAATATTTTCGCAATTTTCACGCTTATAAACAATTGCAATAATTTAATGTTTTTTTCAATTTTTTTAATTTTAAAATATGGTTTGAAACTCGGAAAGACGAGTATTTAAAAAAAAACCTGATAATCCGCCCAATATTTTCGGAGTTATAGCCCGTTAAAGTTAACCCTTATTTACAGCAAAACTGTAAGAGTATAAGGGCTGTTTTTTGAACTAATAGGTTTGTCATTCCGAGTACTTTCCAGATATAAATTTTCAAAATTTGCAATCACGGGCGTCCCATTTCAAATGTCACTCAAAGATATTCAAGACCGCGTGAAATCAATGAGTATCAGTGGTGGGGGGAGCAAACACACAGCTACTCCGATCTGAATTCTCGAGTTCAAAACTGCGACACTCGGAAAAATTTCACTTATCTCAGTTTCTAATAGACCAATTTCGATTATTTTTTTTTGAATCGTTGTCTCGCAGCTTAAAAAAATTCAATTATCATATTTTCAACTACCTTTTATTATTAATTCTTGGACTTTGGACATGCCGATAAACAGTTACTTTAAAAAATGATTAATTTATTATGTTTATTTATTTACTGTTAATATTCACGACCAAAATTTTTGCATGTTGCACCAGGTAATACTAGTAAGTTTGTACAAATATTATAAAATTGTTTAATCAATAATTATTTAAATAATCAACTGAAGATTGGTATTAATTTTTAGTTGTACGATAAATTATAAAATAAATCTTTCAAAAATTATTACATAAATCATTTACTTTTAAAATATTTATCTAAAATTTATTTTTTATTTATATAAAAAAGTATAAGAATCTTTTGGATACTTGAATAAACTGTACACACTTTTCATGATTTTCCAAATTTTAAACTATTTATTTCAATTTTTATTTACATTTAATCTAATCTAATTATTTTACTAGTTGGTGATTTTTCACATGCCTCATAAGTATTATCACAATCTATTTACTTTTTTGCAATAACAATTAAGCTCACGTTTTTTTTTTATTTGCATCATTTCTGATGTTATTTAGAAGCCGTTAAAACAAAAATCTCCGATCATATGCATTTTACCCAACCCGAAACAGATACCACCTGGACTATTAATAATATTTGCCTGATAAATTTTGTTTGGGGGGAAATTAAATATTAACTATGTATCATCTGCATAAGCAAGGATGTCAAGACGCGTAAATAATAACGAAAGAAGACTTAAAAGTGAACCCTAAAGCACTCTTGAAAATATATTGAAGCTAGAAAAACTATCACTATTGTAAACTACAGATTGACATCTGTCAGTAAGGTAACATAACAATAAAGTTAATACAGTATCTTCAAAAGCTCATAATAATTTATGGTGGACAGTGTCAAAGGCTTTAAAACCAAAACACTAATAAATTCATAATCACGATTTAATAAAATGCCTACAGTTACATTAATCAAAGTCGTTCTTTTCTAAAACTTGATTTAGTGTCACTCGTTAACATTTCTACATAAAATATTTTACATACCTGGTTTACCATCAGGAGTTACGCATGATTTTCTTTTCCCTTCCTGACCAGCTTCCCTTCTTTCGCTAGATCTGGTACTTTCCTCTGTGGTACTCCTTGATTGTCCCTTCAAGATGTCTTCGAAGCGATCTTCAAAAATTATATCTCCTTCACCTACATTGAAATCAAAATCACTTCTCTTAGTTGTAGTAGGGTCATAACTAGGTGGCGTCGTCCTTCTTGTGGAGAGAGTTGGTTGTTGAGTTGTCCAATTTTTTTGTTTATTTACAGTATTTTCATCACTTCTAGTCCCTACGTTTCTCTTTTTTGAGGTTGGTTTGTAGCTGGATGCTTGGGTAGAGTAACTAATCGGTATATCTTTGTTTTTAGGTGTAGTGTTATCATTTGGACCTCTATTAGGCTTATTACTGTTGTCTAATATTTCTTTATTATTTGAGTAATCGTAAAAGTGAAAATTGTCAGGATCCTTTTGGTAACGATAATCATTTTCACCATATTGATTTAACTTTTTATTAGGTCTGTTATCGCTTTTACCATTACCAGATTCAAATGTAGATTTTTGAACACCCCATTTATTATTCCAAGTCTCATGTTTCTCTCCTGAACTGGAATCTATTTTATGGTGGTGTGCTTGAAAGGTGTCATAGTAATCATGGGCGTTAGGATAATCGAAAGATCTTCCATTGTTCCAGTCGTAATAATCGTAGTCGCTGTAGGAAGACCTGCCATGTATCGTTGGTTTAGGTTGTGTAGTGGTTGGTCTAAAATTTGTGTCCCCATTCCTGTATTCAAGAGGCTCGTTTTGACAACATACGTGTGATTCTTCTAAAATCTCGTTGCAACGAAATTTGTTTAAAAAGTTGTCGGCTTCAGGGTCTGAAGCATCTAATGTGCTTCTCAGTTTCAAGAAGTGTTTGCATTTCGTCATAGGAGTGCATGTACCTAGAACAATTTATATGTATAATAACTGCAAATAGCTAAAAAGCAACGAATTAAGATGTCAGAGATTTAAGATCAATTAAAAATGACAATGAACTATTTTTATACTTGGTAGTTTCCATATGGATTCAACGAGCAAAAAAAATCTACTTTGAATTTTATGAGACCCGTCTCTCTTTTAAGTTTCCGAAAAAAATTTTTGGAGCTCTTTGGGGCCATGTTAAAATTTACATAGCGACAGCGTTATTCCGAAAATGAAAATGCACTAGTTACTAGTAAAATAAGAAAATGTGCAGGAGTTTATTAGCTTTTACCTGTTTTGAATTCTGAAAAACACAGGTAAAAGCTGATAAAATTTTGCACATTTTGAAAAAAAAAAACGTTTCCACAGGACGATTTGGGTCAAAATGAGGTCCACTTGCAAAAATTTGCATTTTCATTTTCGGAATAAAGCTGTCACTTAACTTTGACATGGCGCCAAAGAGCTCCAAAAATTTTTTTCGGTAAAACAAAAACACACGGGTCTCATAAAATTCAAAGTTTAAAAAAATCGAAGAAGACGATTTTGTTGCTAGTTGAATCCATATAGACCAGGCAAGTTAGACAATAAATCAGAAAATTATTTCTGATGAACCGATCGAGTTTCGGTTTTCGGCATTGTCTTCGGAAAAATATCAGGAAAAAAGTCTATCTATTACACTTTGGCGCTGGATCGAAACTGCATTGCAGGTGCATAAAGTGCATCTTGGAGTGCATCAATTTTTCCGAATTTTCTAAAAATTGTAAAAATTGACTAAAAGTTGTAGAAATTTATGTGTACGGGTTTTCGGAGTCGGAGATTCCGAATCTGACCCTAAAAAATATGCCCGACGGTCCTGGAGCCCCCCAGGGGGGCAAGGGGGAGCCTGCTGTAAAACATCGAATAGCTGAGTAATTGCCTTCTAAATTTCCACTCGGGGATTTTTGGGGTCAGGAGAAGGCCCCCCCTTACCCCCCTGGGGGGCCCCAGGGCCGTCGGGCATATTTTTCAGGGTCAGATTCGGAATCTCCGACCCCGAAAACCCGTGCACACAAATTTCTACAACTTTTAGTCAATTTTTACCATTTTTAAAAAATTCGGAAAAATTTATGCACTCCAAGATGCAGTTTATGCACCCGCAATGCAGTTCCAATAGATAGACATTTTCCTGATATTTTTCCGAAGACAATGCCGAAAACCGCAACTCGATCGGTTCATCAGAAAAAAATCTCCGTATTCTGGGTGATTTTGGTCTAACTTGCCTGGACTAATATGGAAACTACCATTTATAATTTCGACGGGCATACTCTAACCACAAGTATACCTAATAATATAAATTGTGTGGTCAGTTTGGTCTGCTGAAACACTTCATTTATCCGTTAATTTTACTATCTTCTTTTTGTCTTATTATAGGTCAACAGGTAAACCATAACCTTACCAGTGTCAACGAGTTGATTTACTATTGGGTCAAACCACAAAGGACAAGTATAGTGAATGCGCTGTCCGATTATTATTATTATTTCGATCCAAATCTTCCACGGTAAATAAACAACTCACCATTCTTGTTCTGCGGCGTCACGCAAAAGTTCAATTGGCTGCACCACACCATCGGCTGGTTTTTTTTGTCGATGCCGCAATGGGATATTTCGAGGAATTCTCTCATTTCCGGTGAGTGCTTTGCTGTAAGGACGAGTTTCAGTGCCGTAGGGCACAACTTCAGGGGGATGCATTCTATTTCTACACTGCGAGCGCAGTTCCAAGTACCTGAGGAACGTACAAAATATTTCAGTGTAAAAAATGTAGGTAGAATGTTTCAGTTGGATTTAAAAAAAAAATGTTTTTGGTCCTTTTAGGATTTGATTTCACTAATAGGGTGTATAGTTAAAAGAAACGTAAAAACAAATGATTACATTTTAATGTTAGAAATAGATCATTAATAAATAAAACAAAACGAAATGGCCCACATGTGGATCCTTGAGGTGCACTAGAAATATACTCTGTATGTCAAAATTCCTCGAACTATGCATGGTAACCTGCTGCCATAGAATGTTCAAGTAAAATTGATGTAATGTTAAATATAACCTTTAAAATATGTTGATTATACATGAATTTTACTTGAACATTTCGTGGCAACAGGTTACCTTGGAAAGTTCCAGGAATTTTACCATACTTTTTATTAGTGTATTTTATAGAAATGAATTTGGTCCAGAAATTGAAGAAAAACTTGAAGTATTATTATTATTATTCATTACTGATGGAAATTACATCTGAATCAGATCGTGCTCAACTTCAAAAAGCAATATAATCCAAGCGGTAAAGCAGTTGAGGTGGATTTGATTTGAAGTTAAACATTTCTTTGCGCAGAAAGTTCCCAAATATTATGTAGAATGAGATCCCGAGTTTGCCTATGGCAAAAATTCGGTAGAACTACAACTATCCTAAAATTGGGGTGTATTCAGGAAAACCCGCAAATAAGTGTGCGACAAATTAATCACACAACGGGTATCAGTATCACGTCGATACATAGGATTTTACAAAGGCACAATTGTCATCCTTATGGCATCCAGTTGCACCAACAGTTACTAGAAGTAGTCTTTCAGCGGAGACTGGAGTTTTGTCAGTGTCACTTCTCGTTGCTACGTTCCTAGTTTCAGTTTGTTTCGTTTCGCGTTTTATTTTAGTTGTTGCTAGTGGTTTACTTTTGTTTGTCAAACCACTTTTTAAACATGCTAGTAATTATTGATACTGTCAGTCCCAAGCTTGATAATATCTGAGGGAAATAATAATAATCAGGCCGAGTATGTATCCCATTTTATCATAATAACAGTTACGTTATTTCAGGGTTAAACGTTAAGGTTAACGTTAACTGTTAAGATATAACGTGCACGTTATTGAGGAATTAAGACCATTTTTAGCAAATACTCGTATTGCAATTTTGTTGTTTTTTTAAGACGCTTTTGTGTCGATTGTGTTTTAATAATAATTATGCAAAATTATTATAAACAAGAGTCAGTATTAGACAAAAACACATATAACTGGCAGATGTCTTTTAGGTTATGAAACATGAAAAAAATGCAAACTCNTTCCACTCGGGGATTTTTGGGGTCGGGGATTCCGATTCTGACATCAGAAAACAATCTCCGTATTCTGGGTGATTTTGGTCTAACTTGCCTGGACTAATATGGAAACTACCATTTATAATTTCGACGGGCATACTCTAACCACAAGTATACCTAATAATATAAATTGTGTGGTCAGTTTGGTCTGCTGAAACACTTCATTTATCCGTTAATTTTACTATCTTCTTTTTGTCTTATTATAGGTCAACAGGTAAACCATAACCTTACCAGTGTCAACGAGTTGATTTACTATTGGGTCAAACCACAAAGGACAAGTATAGTGAATGCGCTGTCCGATTATTATTATTATTTCGATCCAAATCTTCCACGGTAAATAAACAACTCACCATTCTTGTTCTGCGGCGTCACGCAAAAGTTCAATTGGCTGCACCACACCATCGGCTGGTTTTTTTTGTCGATGCCGCAATGGGATATTTCGAGGAATTCTCTCATTTCCGGTGAGTGCTTTGCTGTAAGGACGAGTTTCAGTGCCGTAGGGCACAACTTCAGGGGGATGCATTCTATTTCTACACTGCGAGCGCAGTTCCAAGTACCTGAGGAACGTACAAAATATTTCAGTGTAAAAAATGTAGGTAGAATGTTTCAGTTGGATTTAAAAAAAAAATGTTTTTGGTCCTTTTAGGATTTGATTTCACTAATAGGGTGTATAGTTAAAAGAAACGTAAAAACAAATGATTACATTTTAATGTTAGAAATAGATCATTAATAAATAAAACAAAACGAAATGGCCCACATGTGGATCCTTGAGGTGCACTAGAAATATACTCTGTATGTCAAAATTCCTCGAACTATGCATGGTAACCTGCTGCCATAGAATGTTCAAGTAAAATTGATGTAATGTTAAATATAACCTTTAAAATATGTTGATTATACATGAATTTTACTTGAACATTTCGTGGCAACAGGTTACCTTGGAAAGTTCCAGGAATTTTACCATACTTTTTATTAGTGTATTTTATAGAAATGAATTTGGTCCAGAAATTGAAGAAAAACTTGAAGTATTATTATTATTATTCATTACTGATGGAAATTACATCTGAATCAGATCGTGCTCAACTTCAAAAAGCAATATAATCCAAGCGGTAAAGCAGTTGAGGTGGATTTGATTTGAAGTTAAACATTTCTTTGCGCAGAAAGTTCCCAAATATTATGTAGAATGAGATCCCGAGTTTGCCTATGGCAAAAATTCGGTAGAACTACAACTATCCTAAAATTGGGGTGTATTCAGGAAAACCCGCAAATAAGTGTGCGACAAATTAATCACACAACGGGTATCAGTATCACGTCGATACATAGGATTTTACAAAGGCACAATTGTCATCCTTATGGCATCCAGTTGCACCAACAGTTACTAGAAGTAGTCTTTCAGCGGAGACTGGAGTTTTGTCAGTGTCACTTCTCGTTGCTACGTTCCTAGTTTCAGTTTGTTTCGTTTCGCGTTTTATTTTAGTTGTTGCTAGTGGTTTACTTTTGTTTGTCAAACCACTTTTTAAACATGCTAGTAATTATTGATACTGTCAGTCCCAAGCTTGATAATATCTGAGGGAAATAATAATAATCAGGCCGAGTATGTATCCCATTTTATCATAATAACAGTTACGTTATTTCAGGGTTAAACGTTAAGGTTAACGTTAACTGTTAAGATATAACGTGCACGTTATTGAGGAATTAAGACCATTTTTAGCAAATACTCGTATTGCAATTTTGTTGTTTTTTTAAGACGCTTTTGTGTCGATTGTGTTTTAATAATAATTATGCAAAATTATTATAAACAAGAGTCAGTATTAGACAAAAACACATATAACTGGCAGATGTCTTTTAGGTTATGAAACATGAAAAAAATGCAAACTCGTAAATAACGGGTAAGTACGACATAAAATGGTTTGTAACACGTTATCTTAAATTATAACAGAGTTTCTTAAAGGCAAGGAATTTGGTGTCGCTATAGTTTATCATACGTGTTATTTGTGTAATGAAAATGAACGGCTTGTTAAATTTACATTTACTTACCGGTTTTATAAACGCACATCGAAGGTAAGTTGTAAAATTTAAGTACTTAGGTAAGTATTTACCCTAAAATTATTGTTAGGTTAATTCAAACGAAGGAGGATCTAACAAGGAAACTACCCCAACCCGAACTCTCCGATTTCCAATATTTTTATATATGTTGTAGACTCGGTTGTAGAACATAAAAAATTAAACGACATTTTTCTTTATCGGCGAAAAAACATATTTAGGGGGTGAAATACATCCTCAAAGTTCGCCCCCAAAACAGTTTTTTCTAAATATCTGGGGTTCTAATCAATATTTTGGAATGAAAAAAAAAAAAAATGGAAATTGTTTCTTATAAAAAAACAAATGTTTCACATTAGATTCCGTGTTTGGAGGTTGCTGCCCTTATTTTTTATTTCAGAAAAACTATATTTTCCAAACATTTTTTATATATAAAAAAATTCATATTTGTTAAAAAAAATAAAAAGTATGATTTATGTAAACAAATTGACAAAATTAAGTTCTCTTTTTTGGGGGTGAACAACCCTCTAGTGTGCTAAAAATGTCTGTATGATTACAATTAACATTGCAAAATAAAAAGTTTTTACTTTTTCTCTAATCATACGAATAATTTATTCTATTAGCCGCAAACAGATTTAAACGGATACAAACTACCCCTCATGTTCAGCCCCAAAAACAGTATTTCTGTGACATCCCGGGTTCTAATCATTTGCTTTCGATCTACACATTTTGGTATTATACAGTGTTTTTTAAAACTTACAACACCTACAAAATTGATGTGTGGTGATATCGACGAGGGAATCTTTGGTTCAGATACTACTGACAGACATTTAGAGTGAAATGTGGTGGAGCTCCATCATGCATAAACCACATGTTAGCTCTGAGGAATAACGGCACACCTTCCAATAACTCGGGTAAAGTGTTTTGCAAAAATTCTAACAGGGACAATAATAATGCTGTCAATGCGTGTATTTGACTTTTTTTTTCCAATTATTTGAATACAATTAGGCACATTGTAAATATCTCTAATTCGTCATATGTGTGTATCCATATCGAAAAAAATTATGTAAAAGATGGTATATCTTATCGTCGTAAACGCTCATTAAGAATTGTCAGGCACAATAATTTAAAAATCAGACTGAAATTACAGTCAATCTACAAAATCAGTGCCTACTAGCACTTTGTTAAGTATTGTAATATGGGTGGCACGATAATGTAGACGTTTAAACATTTTTTTTGTACCCAAACCGCTAATTTAATCGAAATTTTACAAGGGGTCCAAAAACTTCCAAATTGTATCACATATCAGATAAAAAATAGTTGTCATTATTTCCCGAAAGAGGAAAAAGTTATGAACTTATTTTATCAATACATCAACTTTGTAGGTGTTGTAGGTTTAAAAAAGTACTCTGTATAACACCAAAATGTGTAGATTGAAAGCAAAAGTCCACACCCCAAAAATAATCCAAATCGATTAATAGGTATTCGAGTTATTTACAAATTTCAAAAAATTTTCACCAACTGAACCCAACTAAGCGATTTTGAATATAGGTGAATTGGCCTACATCTGCCTGTTTTGAGTCAACGAATCTGTGGTCTTCCGTTGTA